GCTAATTTTTGTATTTTTTTTTTTTATTAGTAGAGATGGGGTTTCACCATGTTGCCCAGTCTGGTCTTGAACTGATTTCATGATCCTCCCGCCTCAGCCTCCCAAAGGCATCAGGAATTTTTTAAAGCCTCATGGTGGTGTACAGCCAAGGTTGAGGATCACTGTATTACACAATCCCACTAATCTCTGCATAGGCAAACTTTCTGTATTGGTCTTCAAATATCAGTTACCTGTGGAGCATAAAAAAAACATACATGGTGAAGCTCCACTGGCTAAAGTTCCAGATTCAGCAGGTCAACGAGACAAGCAGAGATGGGCTATTTTTAACAAGCCAGTGGAGGTCTGGAGTAGGAGAGAGACTTTTCATATATTCACCTTTTTGGCATTTTTTGAATTTTATGATTCTGTTTAAAAAGTACTTTCACAAATTAATTAAAATTAATAAATTGTAGTTATCAAATTAGCCAAAAAGCAAAGTTGTTTTTTTTTAAAAACAAAACAAAACTATTCATGATGGAGGTTCCAGTGCACTAAGGCAAGAAAAAAAAAATATATGAGAACTGGAAAGGCAAAAACCAAATCTGTCATTATTCCCAAATGATATGATGATGAAGTTGCAAAATCTAAAAGAATCTACAAATTATTATTAGAATAAGAATTAACAGAATTAACAAGGTTACTAAATAGACACACACGTGCACACACAATTATAGTTCCATATACCAGCAATAAATATTAGAAATGCCATCATCTTAAAGATAACATTTACAACTGTTTTTAAAAATCAAATGCCTGGGAAGAAATCTTACAACAGCCGTAGGAGACCTCTATTGGAAAAAGCTACAAACACCTCATCAAAAAAAAATTAAACAAGTAAGTAAGTCCCAATAAAAAATCTCAAGCTATTTCATTTGTTTGTTTTTGTGGAACTTGACAAGTTGATTTCTAAACTTTATAAGGAAAAGCAAAGGGTCAAGAGCCAAGATACGTCTGAAGAGCAATGATGTGGGAGGACTCACTCTACCAGATAACAGAACATATAAAGCTGGGGTGATTAAAACAGTATATGACTAGCACAAGGACAAATAGAGACATGGAATAGAATGGAAAGCCCAGAAACAGATCCAGACGTGGATTCTTGATTTATGACAAATGTGGCACTTCAAAGCAGATGGGGAAAATTTTTCAATACGTAAATAGCATTCTCAATAAATGGTATTAGTAGAGTTGGCTATCTATAGGGGGAAATGGAATTGGAGCATGTCTCATATCATCTGCAAAAATCAATTCCATGTGGGCTGTAAAAATAAATGTGAAAAGCAAAACAATAAAACTTTCAGAAGATGAAACAGCCAGGCACAGCTGCTTGCATCTCTAATCCCAGCTACTTGGCCGGGAGGGCTGAGGCAAGAGGATCACTTGAGACCAGGAGTTTGAGACCCCGAGTCTCAAATAAACTAGTTAAATAAAAGTAAATAAAGATAAAATAGGAGAATATCTTTATGACCTGAAGGTAAAAAAATGAATTGTGACACAAACCCTACCTATAAATGAAAAGACCGATAATTTTGACTGTATTAAAATGAAGAGCTTTTGGCTGTGAGCAGTGGCTCATGCCTGTAATCCCAGCACTTTGAGGCTGAGGTGGGTGGATCATCTGAGGTCAGGAGTTCAAGATCAGCCTGGCCAACAGGGCAAAATGCAGTAAAAATTAGCCAATCATGGTGGCACGTGCCTGTAATCCCAGCTGCTGAGGAGGCTGAGGCAGGACAATCGTTTGAATCCAGAAGGCAGAGGTTGCAGTAAGCTGAGACAGCACCACTGCACTCCAGCCTGGGTGACAGAGCGAGACTCCCTCTCAAAAAAAGGAAGAAGTGCTTTTAAGTTCATCAAAAAATGTCATTAAGAAGGCAGAAAGGCAAGCCAGAGTAGAAGAAAGTATCTGCAACACACATGACTATCAAATAACTTGTATCTAGAGCATACATAGAGCCCCTAGAAGTCAGTAAGAAAAAGAGGGAAGCCAACAGAAAATGAACAAACATTTATATGCACCAGCAGGTGTAAACAATGTTTATAACAATGCTGCCCATGATATCCCCTAACTAAATACAACCCAAACATCCATCCATAAGAGAACTGATAGACTGCGGAAGATTCCTACAGTGGGATAGTATATAATAATGAAAATTAACAAACTTCACCAACATGCAACAACTTGGATAAATCCTAATATTGAGTAAAATAAGCCAGATTGAAGGAATAAACTCTGGATAATTCAGTTTATATAAAGCTTTTACACAGGCAAAACTAGGTTGCATCACTTGGAGATACATATATGGGTAGTAAAGCTATAAAGAGAAACAAGATAAAAGTCAAGATAGTGGTTCACGATAGGGAGAATAGTCCTGATTGGAAAGAGGCATATGGGCAGCTTCTTGGGTCCTGGCAATATTTCTTGAACTGAGACGGGTTACATAAGTATCTTCTCTACAATATTTTGTTAAGAGAGCATATTTATACTTTCTGCACTTTTCCACTGTGTATATTTCACAATTTAAAATGTTTTGCAAAAGTGTGATTTGGAACCACTGCTGTGATCTAATTATCAGAGCAGCTAAGCCAAAATACCTCATTTCCTTGGTAACTTAGTCCTGTGAATCTGAATGCCTCATATATTATTTGATGGTACTGATGATGAAGATGATTGACGAATCTGTATCTACAAATAATATGCAAAACTATTTTTTCTGAGAATTTCACTATTAGGCCTATTGTTCATTTAAGAATGTAACAACATAATCTATCTAAAATAACAAAGATATAGCTGGCTAATTAATTACAATAAATACTGACATTTAGTGAGCAGATGAATAAAACACACCCAAAAGGGCACAGCAATCTCTTAGCAAGAGCTATGATTAAAATGCCCCTGACTGAGTGATAGCAAACACAAATGCGGCCACAGATGCTGCATAATTATTGCCTTGAAATAGTTCAAGGTTCAGATGCTTAGAATACATCACACTTTTCAATACTCACTTCTATATTTAGGGCTACTCTGCTTCTCTGCACAGCCTGAGTAAAGTGACTGGAACAGATGGAATATATTTCTCTGGCTGT